TTGAATCACTTGCGGGTGGGCCATAGTTAACCGCAATGCTGATGGGACTCGCCTTGAGAATAGAGCACATTGTAGGAACCAGCTGGTTAAGCCGCATCACAAGTCCAATGGTAATTTGAAGGACGCTGCGCCACGCTCAAACTAGTTATAGGTGTTTGTAACTGCCAGTGCCCCCTCAAAAGGGCCAAACAAACAAGTGTGGAAAGCAGGTTCGCTGTTCAGCAAAGTTTGGGACAGCATGACATTTGCAAACTATCTTTAGCTGACTAACTCTGCCTTTGGCTTGCCACATCAACCACAAAGAATTTTTCAGGCGGACAAGGCAATCCTTCTACCTGTTAGAAGTTCGTCTCTTTGGCAAAGGTATTTTGTCATCACTAAAAACGGGAGGATGAGGATGAGGGATTGGAGGCCATTGGTAGTAGGTTGGAGGCCATCGCTAGTAGGCTCCTTTTGCAGTGCCGCGAAGTGGCCATTTACAGGCCCCTGTTTGATTTCCCTGCGTAGAGTATGCTTGATCAGCTACGGGGTCTTTTCATGCTTGTTGCATTATGGCAAGCTTGAAAACTTGGTGGTCTTGACATATGGGTAAAAGCATCTGGTGCCCAAACCTGATACAAGATCCAAATTTGGGATGAACATGGCGCCTTGCGGAACGCGAACTACATTCAGCACAAAAGGCGGAAGTCTCCAAGCGAGATTTTCTGAGCTGTGGCAATGGCAAGAATGCACAATTCTACAAATCTGTTTCTGTACATGCATGGCGCAGGGCTTGCTTAGTTTTCCATCTGGGAAAAGCACTTGGCTCTTTGTAGATGTTTCCATGTTGAGTCAAATCCTGCTCATGTCCTTTCCAAGAAGCTGGACCTTCTGTAAAAGTGGTGCAAGGGATGGAAGCTCTAAAGAGAGCTCAGCTACTCAAAGAACTTCATCTACAAGCTGAACTCGAGAAACCGCCTCACTGGACACGGAGATCATATAAACTATTACTACTTCTTTGTTTCTAAGAGCGATGGCCTCCACCCTTAGTGGCGATGGCCTCCAACCTACTTGCGATGGGTCTCTAGACTGGACTCAAATCGGCACATGCAGTTCATTGCGCAGTGCCGCAGTGCAGTGCTGCGTGCGAATGCACAAGACTTACAAGGCTCCTTCCTTTCGCCACGTCAAGGCGCAACATGTTGCTACTAGCAGCGATGCCCTTTGTTACTAGTAGCTTCAAAGACCGTTCCTAGTAGCTTCTTGTTACTACGGGTGAAACGATTCCCAAGGAAGCTTCTTGCTCCTAGTAGCGTTCAGGTTGCCTAGATCCCACACAAGATCTTCTAAAAGGTGGATCAAGCCTGTCACACTTGTAGAATCACTTGTGACCACGCGCTTTTGACCCGTCAAATGACAAACTGAGCACGTGGACCGGTGCAACATCAGTTGAACGACACAAAGCGTTGCTCTTGCGATTTGACCGGTCTTTGGGGCCGGACAAGTAGCTTCTTGTTACTACTAGCGATGCCAGGAGCTACTAGTAGCGTCCGTGCTCCTAGTAGCGATGCCAGGAGCTCCTAGTAGCTTCTTGTTACTACTTGTAAGGCACTTGTTACTAGTAGCGATGCACTTGTTCCTAGTAGCGAACATTGTTACTACATGACAAACTTAAACAGAGAGACAAGAGTCTCTCATCACAAGTACAAAGCCGAAAGGCAAAGTCTTTTCTGGCCAAAATGCATCCAATCTGTGCTGATTGGGTGTGGCTCGAACCAGCACGAAGGTGCCAATAACATGGCAAACCGAGTGAGTTCAGCATTTCTTGTTGAAAGGCATGAAATGACATTGCAAAACCTGGAACCGTGTTGGGCGACACCCGCTCACAGCGCGATGCCGATGGCGAAGACAGTCCAAGTGTTTGGAGCAACAAGTTCCTCGAGTCGGAACAACATTAACGACTTGTATGGCAGGGAAAGGAACTTAATAGGAATGGCCTCCAACCTACTAGCGATGGCCTCCAACCTAATGGGGATGGCCTCCCCCCTAGAAGCGATGGCCTCCAAGCTAAGAGAACTTCCTAGAATGCAGGGAAAGGAACTCCTTGCGCCAAGAAGTTCCGTGTGAATGTCTTTGGGAAGTCATTAACTGACACTCAACAGCTGCAGTTCAGCTGAGCAGCAATAGAAGCAACTTTGTCTGCCTAAGGGAAATTGTGCACTTTTGA